AATAGATAGGTTACTACACAAGATGAATAATGAGAATGAGAATGAGAATGAAGCGTATACTTTATTCTATATACTGGTTCAACAACCTCGGCGATCTCTATAACAGGGAAGTCTACCAATGTCTTTGTGATTCTTCTGCTTGTCTAAAATTATCGTACACCTTGATCGTTCCAAGAAATGGCTTCTCTACGGGACGAGCAACGCTCAGGAACAAACAACGATCTGCCATCAATGCTGACACTCACTAAGCTCCGTAGCACGTCTATGTCGATGAAGGGGCATGGAGAGTTGCGCATATGCTCAAGCGCCCTGGCCTGCACCCCCATCCTTCTTCGCAGCAGGCTTACGCGGCTGCCTGGTGCCCACCGCGGAGCGCGTGCGGGGCGCCTTGTCCTGCCCGCGTCGCTTCGGCGTCGGGTCGTACTGACACATCGCGGCCGCCTTCTGGCAGTTGAAGCACACGGGCCTCGCACCGTCGCAGCGCAGCTTGCGGTGTCGGCTGGGTCGAACGGGGGGACGTCAGCACGGATGACGACTCCCGTAGAGCAAAACTGCAGGGGGGCTCAAGGGGGAGCGGAGCGGGACGGACACGCACCAGCGGTCGCATGCGACGAATACGCGGACGCGGGGCCGGCCGTCGACCGTGCGCGGCTGGCTCGGATCGAGTGCGATGCTGCCCGTGTGGCGGCCCCGCCCTCTCCCGTCGTCATCCGCGTAAGACTCCTGGGACGACCCGTCGTAGTCGTCGTAGTAGGCGGCGTAGTCCTCCTGAGACGTTCCCGGGACCGCGTAGGGTTGCGGTTGGCCGCCGCCGGAGGACGAGCCTTGCTGGAACTGCTGCGGGTGATACTGGCCGCCGTAAGGGTGCCCCGCCTGCTGAGAATACGGATATCCGGGTGTCTGAGCATACTGTCCCGCAATCGGCTGGGGATATTGCCCCGAGGTCTGTTGTTGGTGCGAGCCCATCGGGGTTTGGGCGTACATTCCTGCCGGATGTTGTGCGTAGGGTACTGCTCCTGGCTGTTGGACGTAGTGTCCCGGAGACTGAGCGTAGGGCACCCCGCCTTGTTGGGGGTAAGTCCCTGGCGGGTAGCGTTGACCTGGGGTGTCATAGCCTTGCATACCGCCCGGGGCGTGTCCGGAAATGGAGTCAATCCATTGCAGCACATCGTCTGGCGAGTGCTGAGGGGGAGTTTGAGTCGACTCGTTCTGGCGGTGAGGAAGCATGGCGATGCAAAAAAATGTACGTAGAGGGGCGAAGGGCGATGGTAGTGTGCTGGACGAATGTGTGCTGCCGGCCATTGTCGTAAAGTCCTGGATATATAGCTATGAGTGACAACTTGCGCAGCTCCTACTACTTGCCTTTCGCACTCGTCGCGTGCGCTAATAGTTCGAACGCGGAAGCAGGCGGGATAATGCGCAATGCGCCTGCGATCGACTGTCCTCTGATACAGCGTAAACATGATGGCAGGGTCATCGGACCTCGACCGGCCGTTCAGGCTGTGAGACAGGTATGGGTGCTTGATGATTGTAACCCCAAGGCCACGAAGTCGAAGCCAAATTGCGGAATGATATTGCGGTACTTGCCGTTGCAAAATCAATAGCTCTCGTGGAGTGGAATGCAGTGCTACGCGAGAGCTAGGCACATCATTCCGGAATGTCCGAGAAGGAGTATACAGCGAACCTGTGCTATGACTAGGATTGACCAGTTAGGTAATCGTGACAAACACGCATTCAGTGACCAACTTACCGGCCCAAACCAGTTTCCTCACCCCAGGTGCACGGTCTAGTCCCATGATGCTGTACCAAATCCCGGAGACACAAATACGACGAAAAAGAGCCTCGACGCTCGGGCCGCAGTGGTATCACACCAGATGGGCGAGACTTGGGATGGGCTATTGGAGACATGGTATGTTTCATCTATCATGGACAGCGAAACATAGCCCGCACAGGTCAAAAAATGGCATATTCCTTGGCAAGTACCGGCGCAATCGGAGCGCGAAGCGTCAGCTTAATGTTGCCCGTCGACCGTTGAATGGGCCAGCGTAGCGTGAACTCTATAGCAATTAACTGTCTTCATGAGCGAGAATCAAGAGATTTAAGGCGCAACATACCATTCGGTTCAGTCCCCGAGGCATGCCTCCACATTCCAAAGAGGATGTGACGGAACCCTGACAAGTTAGACGGTCGTCAAGGCTTCTGTTGTGATTTCTCACAGAACCGAAAAAACCGGTGAAGAAGCGCGTGCAACAGGCGAGTCGCGCAGTGAAAGGATGTCCATGTATTAGCGAAGGACCCAACGGCCATGATGGTAACATTCGAGCTGAATGGTATGTGGAGTTCGGTTCTCTAGCGAGGAGGTGCTTCGTATGTCCTAAGGCAGTGCCCGGCGGCATCACCGAGAATAGCCCCCATAATCGTTAGGAAAAACAAGTCAGCAGAACAAACATGGTCACAGATAGTACAACGAGACTCATCATCTGTGCCGGCAAACTCCGCCTCTTCTCGCCGGATACCAACAGCCAGAACTTGAAAGAGGTCGAAACCGCCAAGTATGCATGAGCTGTCGGCGGGTCGTCCGGGTCACGGTGGTCTATTCAGCGGTGTCGGTCGTTGTCGTCCGGAAAGCCATGTCCGGCGACAAACCTGCCGAGGCCTGGGGCGCCCTGGTTATTGCATCCGTCTGGTCTGTGCGCACAGGACGTTCGCGTCGAGTTGCAACCAACAACCTCGTTTAACGCAGCCTCGCCTGTGACATCACGTTTCCAAACCCGGCCGTAACAGCGATGAACAGGCGCCCACGGCACTCATCGTGGTCACGGTTCGCCTCTCACCATGAAGTTAACCTCTCGCCCGGTCTACTCCCATTCGCTGTTCGTTTGTCGCAATCTTGGGTTCCACAACTGCTTCATAGCCTAAGAACACAGACGTCTCTACCGCAGCCGCATAGCTTTACTGCGCTGAGTCGAACCCCGTGTGACACGTCGATTGCGAGTTTAGCTCATCTCGCAGCTCCCACTTCGCGATGCCCCTAACTTACCGTGTCACGAGCTAAGGAAATGGACACCAAAATTAACCGTGAATCCGCATGTTGAAAGGATCTGCAGTATCAGTCAAAATCCGCACGTGGGCCACATCATCCCGGAGTTGCTTTGACCTCTTGTTCCGAGTTCGTAGATTTCTGCCACAAGATCGCGGGAGACCATCGCGGCGGTTGAAGCATTCTCGGACCACTATCCATAGGAATCAGTGGTGGTGTCCTAAGTGTCCGTTGGGCTTTGACTATTCCAGTCCACGATCAAACCCTCTGTCAACGCGGCCGACTACGTAGCGTATATCTCATATCAGGTTTCGAACTACCCTTGAGTTGCTAGAGTATATGGTCTTCGAAGCCAAAAGATAGAAACATGGTCTCAATCCAGTATGGAGATAGGTGTTTAATTTTTTACTGACTACCGTTGTGGATGATTGGTGGTTGAGCTTTCGTAGTCGTGTTTGGGCAGTCGGCGGTAGACACCTCAGGCTATGCAGATACGTCCACCCTCGTGTTTCTCACCACGTGGTTGGCTTACCCCAAGTAGGCGTCAACACGAGCTCAGATTGACCAACCAACCAAACGAAGTGGTATCTTCCCGTTTGCATTGGTCGTGTGCCTGCGCTGATGTACGCATATGTTTCTAGGTCTGGGGCTACGGCGTTCATACCGCCGGGGGTATAATTTGCAACCTCTGCTCGGTGGCATGATGTCAATTCAAAATTACTGCTGGTCTCCGGTCGTTTTATGGTACGCCCATCCGCGATGACATTAATGGGCTTCAATTCATCATGAGCGGCGGGGGTAAGCAAGCTTCGTTGGATCCTGAAAGGACTCGGAGATAACCCAGAGCACACGGTATGACTTACGCCCACTGGCGTTCGAATTTCGGGGCGTTTGTGTTTCCGAGGTCGCGTGGATATAATGTGATGCTACAGGACTTGCGGTCTGATAATCTGCGTCATCACGTCGATTATGGGCATCCCGCTAGATCTCAACCGTATGCTCACGCGAAGGCTGTGACAGTGCGTTAGAGACGCTCCCGGTTCATGCGTGAAAGTTGTCGATATCGATGTAAAATTCGAGGTGTCAGCATCCGGCTCCACCGCGGGTCGGCGATATTCAATGATGCCCGCTCATCCTCTGTCCTGTCGGTGCAGTATCCGTGGCAGCAATAAACTCTTCCACTCACTGATCGGGATGCCGTACTGTCGAGGCACATCGACCCACTGTGCAATTGTTCCTACGCGATATTTGCAGCTTCTATCGCAGTAGAATTTCCCGGTCAGGGCGGGTATCCCGACGGAAGGCGCATCCTCCTAATTGGTGCTCTCAGAAGCTCCGACTGGCCACGGATCTGCACGGTCGCACTGCACACTCATCTTGCCGTAATAAGGTTGATGCCAGTGCCCACCGGGAAGACCACTCCGGATATTAGTATTTAGAGTTGCTATGAATGTGTTGCTTGTCTCCTGAGCAAATAGGTTCCTGCACAGCTTTGCTAGGGTCCTAGGCCGGAAACCGACGTCCCGGGAAGGGGTACAGGGCCCTGGAGACACTGCCATGCGCGACGCTACGGTATAGGTCGTTTGGCATCGACTCGCGTTGTACTACATAGCCATCTGTGTGTTTCGGTGTCACCGCTTCATCAAGCTGTAGATAAAAGACATCTCAATAACCATGCGGACTTGGCGGAAAGCATATAATATAATCCCAAGGAGTGGTGGAGCTTGAGATGCCGTATGGAGTTATCGTCCCAAAGGCACATCCTCGCAATCAAAAACTAGTACTGCAATAGGACTGTTTTGGCAACGGTGGATACCGCGGTACGCTGGTGTAAAGGGGGCTCGGAGCGACTACAACTAGTACTACTCGGACCTCGACCTCGAGTCGATACTACTTCGGGGCGCCTCGTTATTTTTCTCGTTTAACATGGTGAGTATGATATTGTGTGCAAAGTCATTATGCCCGCCTAGCTCAATCGGATAGAGCGTCAGACTCTTACTTTAGCTGGACACGGGCATCTGAAGGCTGCGAGTTCGACCCTCGCGGTGGGCTAGTAGTTTTGGTAACGAAGGCCCGAATTTAACCCCTCCCCAGTACCCAATGCAGCTACGAGGCAATCATGTCATTTCTACACCAGTGGCGAGACGACCCTGAGGCGTCATAACGGTACTGTAGACAGTGTAGAGTGTTGTGCTAGCTTGCCCTAAAAAGGTTTAGGAGGTTATGGCGACGGTGCGATGTACGCCGATAAACGTCTGCATAGCCGTACAGCATCTCTTGTGCAGCCTTCCATGACTGAATATTTGTCGTAAGCTCGTATGTTACTCGTGGTGCACGCGGTGTCTTGCCAACGGACACAAAACGCTGTGTCGCCCTGGCGCACACTCGTATGCTCTGCATACGCAATGCCCACTGCGCCAATATACAGGCTGTGGGAAATATATCTTGCCCAGAGGGCTCAGGCCGCCACTTGTGCTCAAGCCTCGTCATAGCCACAAGCCCCGCCGCAGCTGATGAATGTAAGGTTTATGAGCGCGCCTACATCACGAGTGGCTCGCTACCATGACCTATGCCTAGAGCAATGAATGGGCACGGTGGAGACGTCTCGCACAAACCTATACTCGACGTGTGACTGACTCACGATGTGGTTCGGGCCGTCTCAGCAGTGCTGTCGCAGCACCCTCTCACGATACGCCTTGCTTATCAAACGGAAAGCGATGACGGCGTAGCTACGCGAACGGGTCCGTGAAGGAGAGGCGAACTTTGGCTTTGGTGGTCCGACGGTAGCCGGGGCGCTGTTCGATGTTTGCGCGGCGAACCCGATGACAAGTATACGATGAGTTCTACCACGCAGACATATATGCCATTAGCAAAACGATACTGTATACTAATGACCCTTTCGTCAGCCCGCGCGGGAGAAGCCGATGTGGAGGGTGACGTACCGAGTAAACAACCAGCAAGCACGAAGAAACTCTATGCTGCCTCCGCCGGGGCCTTCCCTCTATCCTCCCGAATACGAGCCTTGACATTCTCAACCGCTTGCTCCCGCTCGGCTCGACGTTCCGCGATGAGGCGCAGGATATTGCCTCTCGACGCGGTAGTCCCTGTCCGCCACTTCCAACCCTTACCGTTGACCGAACGTGTCGCACGCAGGAAGTAGAGTTGCCTGTCGGTCTCCCGCTTGCCAACCAGCAGGCGTTCTTCCAACCACTTGCGCCGGGCTTCGCGCTCCTGCTTCGGCATGTCCTCTTCGGCGAGGGGGTAATAAAAGGGCTCGACGAGGCCGACGACGGCACGTTTGTACGTCCTGTCCGCAATGGTAGTAGCCGTCCGCGCTGGTGCTTTACGTATGGGAGACTGGTAGTTGTCGGTACGAATGTATGTTGTCTGGACGCCATACACCGCAAGCAGGTATGAACGAATGTCGGTCTTGGTCACCGACTGCGGGACGCGGAATGTGGCCTCGTAGGGATTGTACGGCTGTCCCGCGGGGGTGTGGTTGCGGACCATCTTGAAGATGACGTTGGGGAGGTAGATCTTCTGACCGACAACCTCTGCTTCCTTCTCGCCGTCCTGTACGACCTCGCGCACACCGCGCACACGGCTTCGCCGGGCGTCGAGCTTCGACAACCATTCTGCCTCCGTCAGATTCCTCCCATCGTTTTGTAAAAGTTCGCCTTTTGCCAGAGCACGTTGGTACCGCGCAAATTCGGTAGGAGTAAGGCCCTCGGGCGTCGCGTCAGACCCTTCGGGTTCGGCGTCGAGACCTTGTTGAGCGCGACGAATGCGGACGGCGCGTGGAGTTGATGCTGTCCGCGCCGCTGCCGCCGCATCCGGGAGCGTCGCGTACAGACGACGGAGTGTGGCGAACATGGAGAGCGTTGGCAGTAGCACTGGCAGCTCACGACTGTCTGCTGCTCCTACTCCAGCGCCAGAAAACTCGGGCGTGAGAAAGTGGTCCACTATTGGACATCCCCTAACGTAGGGTTAGCAGAAGTCCGGACCGCGGTTCCGATCTTCAGAGTGCCCGTTGTCGATTGGCCGTCTTGGTTTTCTCTGTCCTGGTCACTGTTTCGCCCGCACCCTCAGGCTGCCTCGTCAGGCTCTCAAACATATCTGACATACACACTGCGTCCAAGCGTTGTAAGATCTCTGAATATCCGAAGGGGTCTCCGTATTTTTCCTATCTTTGGACACGGATCGCCTCTCCGCAAATCCTTTCCAATGTCGGCAAACGATAGCGCAAACGGCGGCCAGCGCCAGACATTGAAGGAGCGAGACAATGAAACCCATGCCAATCTGAGCGGCGGAAGCGGGGCTGCTACGGATCGGGGGCGGGGAGCGAGGGGGCGGGGGCGTGGAGGCGGCAGAGGCGGCTCGACCAAGTTGAGAGGTCTGCCCAAGGATTCCCAGGAAGTTCGTATTTCCAAGACGCTTTCCTGGATTCTTCGCCATGGCTCCCAGTCAGAGGGACTCGCAATGCGCCCTGATGGTTACGTTCGTGTGGACGAACTTGTAAGGCGCACGAGTTGTAAGAGTCGCTACTTTCACGACGCTGAAATTAGTGAAGTAGCTCCAGCGACCAAAGTTGCGCGAGCTAAGCTTTGATGCCCTTCAACAAATTGTAAAAGACGATGCCAAAGGCAGATACAGCTTGAGTCTCGAAGCTGACCCGAAGACGGGCGGCGAATCTTGGTGGATCAGAGCCAATCAAGGGCACTCGATGAAGGTGAGTCTCAGTACTAGGATATCGACGTTATTTACAGGGTCGTCTGTACACCCAGTCAGTTGTACTAGAATACGAGCCTATCAAGTCCGTCTCCGACATCCCTACGGGTATCGCCGTTCATGGCACGACAAAACGCGCCTGGGAGAGTATCAGTACGCGAGTGATCCTTCCTGGTGTTTATTGAGATTAGACTTACGCTGAACCCCAGAGGATGCCGGTCTAAGTAGAATGACCCGCAATCACATACATCTCGCCCAAGGCGTACCGGGGTCTGGAGTTATCAGTGGTATGGCTCTCTGATCGCGAATCGCGCGAAACTGCTCAACATTTGACAGGGATGCGGAACTCATCTCAAATCCTCGTCTATGTCGACGTTCAGAAGGCCCTAGACTCCGGGATCAAGTTCTACCTCTCCGCCAACGGCGTCGTTCTAACAGAGGGGGACGATCGCGGTTTCCTTCTTCCTCAATTCTTCTCACGAGTCGAGACGGCTGATGGACGATCGCTCGGCGGATGGGGTGGTCCCAAAAACTTCATCGTTCCGACTACGTCCCCCGTGAACGAGCCCGCATCCCGCAGGGTTAGCATTGGGGTAGGGCCGTCTACGAAAGAGGAAGCCGTGCAGACATCAACGGCCGAGGCAGGAGTATCGACGTTGGTGGAAGAGGTGCAAGGTGTTACTTTGTGAGATGGTACGTCTCATCGGCTCTGAGATGGATTCTGTGGCCGGCGCCCAAGCGCGGTCTAGCGGTTCAGAACTGACGGTTAAAACAGGTGCCATCGAAAGCGGCCTTGTGTGTATTGCTAGTATCTTCCAACGAGAATGGCATCTGCGTTTAACGATGAATTTTTTTTCAACTGTGGGGCTGGCTGATGTATAGTACTGTGGGCAAGCCGTTGCAGGGGTACTCGCTCAGGTCGGATACATGTGAGTCTGTTATGGCGCATATCTCTCGGAAGTTGTTGTGCATCGGTGAACATAGCGTCAGTGTTCGTGCTCGATGTTACGAATGACGCAAGATGTCGAGCCATCAAGCGGCATCTCACGCTGTTCTATGATTGCTTCAGACGTCAAGCTCGCCGACGTGTCGCTTGTAACGTACAAGTCATCCCAATCTATAGCATACCCGTCAATTGCTGCAACCACCGGGTCTGACATGTTCTCCACTCTCCACTCTGCATGGCATCCTGACATCCGAGTCCTTCACGGTCCTCACAACGTTTGCTATCCGCCGCCATCCTCAGGAGCGTACCAGCAGGGACACCGTGGTGATTCACAGGCTCCATGGCGCTGATGAAGCGAAAGTTTGTTCTTAACATTCAGCAGCCCAGTACGGCCCTACTGGTGTATCACGACCCGCTCGCTCGACATATCTTCTAATCCTCACTTAACATTGGCTCAAGCGCAATATACACTTGACGGTCACGCCTACGCACATCCACGCTCTTCTGTTCTCACCCGTTCATCATACAATAGATTAGTTAAATTCAGTAGGTTTCATCCATTCACGAGCCACGGCGAGAGGGCCCTTGCTTTAGGTTGTCGCGACGGCGCAACTCGCTCGTGACTGTACTATGTAATTCGCCTCCGCCGACAGAATGTTGAGTGTTCTTAAGTCCAACATTCTTGCTTACCCCGCCCAAATGCCTAGGATCCAAGGCACTTACGTCCGCCAGTGGTCCCGACTCGCACCTCATAGATCGTCAATTGAAAGGGTGGCGTCCCGGAGACGTCGGTCACCCTTGGTGCCCAGCATCTTCAACCTAAAAATGTCTTCTGTGACGTCTCAGGGTATGCTCAGGAGTATGGAACCGCGTTCAGGTGCTCAAGGCAGCCACCAACTGCGACGCCGGCGCCGTTACGGCTGCCGTACGGCGTAGAGACAGGGCCCGTCATTCTTGTCGACCACGGCGGCTGAGTCACCGTGGTACGGGCAGGCATTAAGCGCGCAGCCATGTCTCGCAGGTATAAAGGCGGCACTGTACAGACCCTAGCCTTCATCGCATTCAGCTTTTCTCTGAAATCGGTAAGACTTGCAGCCATTCAGCCCGCTATATTGTGCTAAAAGCCTGTGCCCAGCGGTAACATCGTATATCAACTTTGCTTCAGGTTGGCATGCTCGCTTTTTCCCCACTGCCCTTGCTCTTTAACCGGTGGCTCATGACTCCGTTAGTAGTCATCGATATGTCTGGCGAAAGCTCTATTCTCCTCCACCTCGCGTCGAGCCTGCGCAAAGTCCACTTCGACTATACTCCGCAGTGGACCCACGGCACGCCCAACACATTCATCGACAGTGTCACCTTCCCGCGCGTCCTCACCGAC